GTCTATGCTACGTCTCACAAGTGTTCTTCCGTCCCCAGCGCATTTATAATCTCTCCTGTGTGTGCTGTATGTCCTGCCCATCTCATCATCTTTGGTGTATCATTCGTATACCATCTGATGAGTGCAATTTAAGCAGCCAGTTAATTTTCAGTTACTTCAGTCCCCACTCCTGTTATTTCAAATGTTCTCTTTACCAAACTATTCTTAGACATCCTCAAGTTAGAATACATGTCGCAGCATTCCAGATGGCATTTGTCTTCTCAGTCTGTGTTCTTTCCTTGTTGTGAGAGATCGAATGTCATGCCCACACAAAAGAACGTGTAAAATTTCAGTCCTTGTGTGTTTTAAACATTACAATCAAAACATTTCTTGATAGATTGCAGTTCGTAAGATAAAATATTCCAAACTGCACAGCAGCAAGTATTTCCAGAATCGCTCTTAGCTGCGCCATTTGTACCAATAATATGATTAGTAGCAAGTAAACAGTGTTTCTTTCAAATGATATTCATTTCATTAAATGCATGGTGCAGGGATCTGTATGGTTGATAGCTGCTCATGTGGACAAGAAATTCCCTGCATCCACAGAATTTGACATTTCAATGCCCTTTTTGTAGAAATTCATCCCTGGTACCTATCTTAAAATAGCTGAAACTGTGTCAAAAGTAAAAATAGTAGACCTATATGAAGTTGACCTTATAAAGACCATTGTAAATGTTGCACTGAACCAGACTTTAAAGGATTTGCTTTAAATTCAAATAAAATATAACATAATGCTTCAAATAAATATGTTCATTTACTTGTTCAGTTCGGAAATTTTTCAAAAATGTAATGATAGCTGGTCTGTGGGCACAGATGTGAATCTAGGACTTGCGAAATATGAAGCAGGAATACTAAATAAACATTTGACAGCTACAATAGGTAAACCCTAAATTGTCGGTAAATATTAAATAAACGATTTCTATACATTTCATTACGTTTCATTTAAAACTTGATTCTGTCTTATAATGTACATTAAGTAAATTATATTGTCCATATCATCATACATGGAGCATAATAATAATGCATTTGACTATACAAATTGCTGTAGGCCTACCCGTATAATAATATTATTATGCAATATCTATATAATATTTTGTTTATATCTTATTAACCCTCACCCACCCTTCCATTAATATGGCGCAAAGCATGGTTATAATTTCATAATGATGCTTTACAGTTTTAAATAATTTATTTCAATTGCACACTCATAACTGCCTATCTACAAAGTTGTGTCACATAATATGTTTCCCACATACTATTAACTTAATAGTGAAAGAAGGACTGCAAATTCCTAATGTGCAAAGAATCATTGAAAACATAAGAACAATATGTAAGATTTGAGATTTTCACAGCGGTGAGTATGAAGATTTCTGTCTTTTGGGTTGTTGCGCTGTGTAGACTGGTCGATCAGTCTAATCAGTCTACACAGCGCAACAACCCAAAAGACAGAAATCTTCATACTCACCGCTGTGAAAATCTCAAATCTTACATATTGTTCTTATGTTTTCAATGATTCTTTGCACATTAGGAATTTGCAGTCCTTCTTTCACTATTAAGTTAATAGTATGTGGGAAACATATTATGTGACACAACTTTGTAGATAGGCAGTTATGAGTGTGCAATTGAAATAAATTATTTAAAACTGTAAAGCATCATTATGAAATTATAACCATGCTTTGCGCCATATTAATGGAAGGGTGGGTGAGGGTTAATAAGATATAAACAAAATATTATATAGATATTGCATAATAATATTATTATACGGGTAGGCCTACAGCAATTTGTATAGTCAAATGCATTATTATTATGCTCCATGTATGATGATATGGACAATATAATTTACTTAATGTACATTATAAGACAGAATCGAGGTAGAGCAACATCAAGAGCCATTGTAGACTTAAATCGTTACCTTGAAGAAGTATTTCTTCCAAGGAACGTAGATCCTTTGCAATGGTGGAAAGCGCATCAGTTCAATTATCCACACCTCAGCATGGTTGTCCGTGAAATATTTTGTGCATTTGGCAGCTCGGTGCCTTGTGAAAGAGTTTTTTCAAAAGCAGGGATGCTGATTACCGAGCGTCGGAATAGATTGAGCAGTAAGAAAGCAAATATGTGTGTTTTTGAATTGTAACCTGGGGACTGTTAGTTAATTCTGTTATTTTCTTGCATGCACAGTCATTAACACGTATATATACGGGGGTAATTAAAATATTCGTTAATGGTCCCTTAAAATGTATTGTGTTCAGTTTCCAAAATGGCTGATTGCTTGCAACATACAATATTGTATAGGAAATGTTACATTTTGAAAAGAATAGTATTTTAAATCAGTGGTATTCAACCTTTTTTGTTCGCGTAACCCCAAAGATGGTGTATAATTCGAGTTATACATAATCTATAATCTACATCTAAAATATTGCTTGTATGAAATAAGAATATACTTTCATCAATAAGTACTATGAATTATGGCCCAGATGAATGAAATTATATTACTTTTATGCAGAGTTTCATACATTTTTCCGATATTAACAAGCAGATTTTCATACACTCCTTTGAGTAAAGTACAACTGAAGTAACAGTATAAAGACATTTTTAATGACTGTTTAGCTTTAAAATCTATATAGCTACTCACTTTATTATGGGAAGTTCTTGTGTGATTTATCATTTATGTAATGAACATATAAAAATCATTTCAAAAATGAAAGATCAATAACTCTTCATTTTATATTTACAGATTTTGTGTGATTCTCACTGTAAACTACAATTATTTCCTTTTATATATTTAAACATCATTAACAAGTTGTTTTTTGTAATGTTGAAGAGTAGGTTTTCTTTATGGTATAAACTGAATTGTTAAATATTATTTAGGTGAGTTTTGGTTTCAAAGGGCTAAACTGCTATCATCACGATAATCAATAAAGGCAAAAAAAATTTAACAATAGTAGCACAATTCAGAAGATGAAGAAATTTATAGTTCAGAATTTTTAACTTTGTAATAGTAGTCAGTGGTATATGCAGACAATTGACATACAAGTAACAGGGCGAGGAAGTTGTGTATTCACTGTTTTTTGCATTGTATTTTGTTGGAAAATAAGATTATTTACAATTTGATAGGCTGACCAGGGAGCCCTTTGACTCGAAGACCTGTGACTCGGAAAATGGCACCAGATTCTGGGTACATTTTCTTTTGTTCCTCAGTCAAAATATCTGCACTAGTGACATAAAGTTCATCAAGTTGTGGTCCTCCAAAGGCAACAGATGTCACTTGTGGTGTTGGAATAGGGATGCGACTTAACAGTTTCCCACTTGCAGGATCCACTCTAATCACCTAAAACACATATAGACATGACCAATACGATACTTTAACTGATAAATTATTCTACTTGAATATTTTTAGATAAAATATCTAGATAAATTATCCACAAGAAATGAACATTCACTGATTTGAACATCAAAGGTTAAATGTACACTGTTGTCATGTGACACTGCAAATACCATCAAAATACTTGTGATAAGAATTAGTAATTTAAATATTTGTATCTTCCAAAGTTTAATGAACTTACTGATACCAATAAATAAAAAAAGAATAAATGTAGGACCATCTTTTTATCACTTATATGACAAGAATTATACATCCAAATTCTGCAACATTACATTGTAAACTATTTATACAATGAATTCTTCTTGGGCTACCAGCCATGTCAGGCAGTTGAAAGGCGAAAACACCAAAATTTTTACAATGATCTTCATCCTCATGCTCAAGGTACTGAAGGTACTAACTAGGTGTTTTCTTCTTTCAACCACTTCACATGACTGGTACCCCAAGAAGAATTCATTATACTTTGTTGCCGTGAAAGCTTCAGATCAAACTATTTGTACAGTTTAATACTATGTTAGTCACTTTACCTGACTCCCATCAAAGCAAGCAACCCATAGTTTTCCTTCAATATCAATAGCCATTCCAACTGGAATTCCATCAACATCGTTTACCTCAAAATCAAAAGCTGTACGTCTGTTGGCTGAAAATGAAAGTGATGTTTATATTAGTATTAATATAAATATATGTCATCCTCAGTGGACTCAAAGTTCGTGGGTTCAATCCCGACCAAGGTCGATGGATTTTTAAGGGTGATAAAAATCCTTAGCAGAACTTACTTTGGAGGGGAAGAAAAGCTGGCAGTTCCATGTTGTAGATGTAAGGCATGATATGAGATGTTTCGTAAGCAAAATTCAGTGTCCATTTCTCACCCAAGTCTCTCCTGATTCATTGCTAGATGGCTCTGGCAGTTAAATCAGGATAGAGTAGAAGTTGTGCAGAGTCAGTGGGCTGGTCACTCACTACTCATAAATTCACACTTCATGACCAAGAAACCTCTGAAACAGGAGGCGGCAAAAACCAACAACCGGGTTGTAGAGCCAAGAAAACAATATAAATATGTGATTCCATGTATGTCCATGCCTCACATTCATGCCTGGCTTGATCAGTTCTGTTGCTGAGAACACACAGGTTTTAGTTTGGTTGTTTTATCATTCACTGTTCTTTTAAACTTTTGAAACAAGTAGTTCTAGGAAGAACTCATAAAGCCTACTTTCATATTGCACAAACTTCCAATCGTTGTTATATACTAGGTAATGTTAGTTTATAATTCACTAATAAAGTGCAATTTCATTCCTGAGTTAGGATGTAGGTGGTCATAGGATTAACTCATACATAAGTCGCACATTTTTGGTTGGTTGCAATTGTGACCATGTTACACACTCCTGTAGTTGTTGTTAGGTGTTCTTCCCGCTCTACTATGAGTGAAAAACATGTTATGGACTTGTCTATGTCTATCAGCCAGTCACATATTTCCTAGGAGGTAGGTAGGAGACCTGCTTGATGAGGGGTCATTGTTGCAGATCATATTTTCATTGCTGTTCCATTTGTTGTTATTTTTGCCTTTGCCTTCACTATGTTGAACACTCTTGTTGATGCTGTGGTACAGAGTATAGTATTCAGGCCTCAGAGAGAGGACTGAAACAGGGCTAGACCGCTTCCAGGGACTGAATCCCTTGGGAACAGCCCCAGATAATACCCCTCATACCCAGGCCATTCCCCCGCATGCTTGCTTAATTGGAGCCTGACCCCCTTGTGTTTCCTGTTTTTGGAGCTCTGTTCCTCAGGCTTTCTCTCCTACCGGCCGTGACAGGATCAAAATAATCCCAGACGCCGGGAGGTGATACGGCATAGGATTATCACAGGGGTTAACCAAAATACAAAATAAATGCACTCCCAAATTACCAAAATGTATTTTAAAAAAATATATAAATTCAAAAGGAGAACAAACTGACACAAATTCCTCAAACCTCCCAAGGCTCAGGCTCCGGTCAGGGTAATGACTAGTTACGTCAAACAACCCAAAAAGCAGACCTATCTGTCTCCAAGCTCTCTCTCTTTGAATCGTTCTCTGCCCGGTGGACACACACAGACTGCTAAAAAATATTGTTTTCGATTTATAAACTACGAGGGGTGTATACAAATGATTTAGACTAACCTGAATTATGCAATACTTGATGGCGGTGGCTCCCAGTTTACACTTCGGCCCGTTCCAAATATTCTTCCTGGAGGTCGATGCACCATTGCCATCTCTCTGGCAATTTCCGTATTGCCTCACAAAACTATTGTTTGGGGGTGTCTCGTACCCACTCCCTGACAGCATCATGTAAGGTGTCACTATCGGGAAATTGGTGACCACGCAGGGGATTCTTCATCTCACGTAAGAGGGCATAGTCACTTGGTGCCAGGTTGTATTCAGTCATGGTGCTTCAATGATGGAGGTTATGTAACAGTTTGTTGTAAATAATACACTAGTTAACCCTAAAATAACTAAGATGAATCAGTTATCTTGCAGACCACGTCGAAGGCTTTGGCCATGTTTAGGAAAACCCTTTCAACGAGGCGGGCCAGTTGTAGTGTCTTGCTGTTTCCATCGGAACCCAAACTGCTCGTCACGCAGCAGTGCACTTTAGTTTACCTCGTGTAGGACCCTAGTTAATAGGATCTTCTTACAGAGCTTGCCGACCGTGCAAAATAAACCATGATTTGATGAAGAGTGTTCAAAATTAATAGATCGAAGGACGCAAACAAAATTTCAATGTTTGCAGGACCCAAACAAAACAAATACGGATAATCTATATAACGTGAGACGTGAAGTTAGTAGAACCTTTAGGAATAAGAAAAGGGAATACCTGAAGGGCAAAATTGTTGAACTTGAGACAAATAATAAGGAAAAAAATATATCAGAGACCTGTACAGAGGCATTAATAACTTTAAGACCCCAGACCAATTTGGTAAAGGATGATAATGACAATTTGCTTGCAGATCTAATAAAAATTTTGAACAGGTGCAAAAATGTCTTTATCCAGCTCTTAAATGTTCATAAGACTGAGGAAGTTAGACAGATTAAAATACATACAGCTGAACTGTTAGTGCCAGAACCTAGTTTAGATGAAGTTGAACTAGCCATTGGGAAGTTGAAAAGTTATTAATATCCAGGTTTTGATCAAATTCCAGCAGAATTAATTAAAGCAGGTGGCAAAGGGTTGCATATGAAGATCCATAAGCTTATACTTTTAATTTAGGATAAGGAACAAATACCACAACAATGGACGAGATACATAATTATTCCTATTCATAAGAAGGGGGACAAGACTGAGTGTGGTAATTACCGAGGAATTTCTCTGCTATCAACCTCATACGAAATTCTATTAAACATTCTTTTGGCAAGATTAACTCCATATGCGAATGAAATTATTGGGGATCATCAGAGTGGGTTCAGATGAAACAGATCAGCAATTGATCATATCTTTTGCATTCGTCAGATACTAAAGGAAAAAGTGTGTATAGATTTCAAAACAGAATATGACTCTGTGAAAAGAGAAGTGCCATATAATATTCTTATTGGATTTGGTATAACAAAGTGAGTCTAATAAAAATGTGCTTAAATGACACCTGTAGCAAAATTTGAGTAGGTAAATACGTATCTGAGTCATTCCTAATCAAGAACAGTCTTTAACTTTGTGCTAGAATATGCCATCAGGAAAGTCCAAGATAGGCAGGAGGGTTTGCAATTGAATGGGACACATCAGCTATTGGCATATGCTGATGATGTTAATTTATTGGGAGACAACATAAATACAATAATGAGGAACACAGAAGTTCTACTAGAGGCTAGTAGACAGGTGAGACTAGACGTAAATTCAGAAAAACCTAAGTACCTGTTAGTGTTTCGTCATCAGCAGGCAGGCGGGCAGAATTATCTTAGGGTAGCTAATAAATCCTTTGTAAATGTGACAAAGTTCAAATATTTGGGAACAACAATAACAAATCAAAATGATGCTCATGAGGAAGTTGGGAGGAGATTAAATTCTGGAAATGCTTGCTACTTCTCAGTTCAAAATATTTTGTCTTCCCGTCTGATTTCTAAGAACCTGAAGATTAAAATATGCAAAACAATAATTTGGAGGAAACTGCATAATGATAAGCTTAAAAATCTGTACTCCTCCCCCAGTATTGTCAGGATGATTAAGTCTAGAAGAATGAGATGGGCTGGGCATGTAGCGCGCATGGAAGGGACAAGAGGTGTGCACCAGGTACTGGTTGGGAAACCTGAGGGGAAGAGACCGCTGGGGAGACCTAGACGTAGATGGGAGGATAATGTCAGGCAGGATGTATGGGAGATAGGAGTTGAAGGAAAGTGGATTTTGTTGGCCCAGGATAGGGTCCGGTGGAGGGCTTCGGTTAATTCGGTGATGAACCTTCGGGTTCGGTAAGCCATCTAGTTAGTTAGTTAGTTATATACAATTTCGAAGTACGTAGCTCACCTAACCTGTCACGAACTTCGGATTTCACATATATTTACTTACTAGTAACATACACCATTATAACTTACCTTTGTCATCAGATTCTAAAGATGTGTCCACAACTGTTTGAAGCATCGGGAAGAACAGCAGAGACTTGATAAAAAGTAGGGCATTTTAAGGTTAACACTCTGCAACGCACAGCCTTGCTTATTTAAGAATACACCCCATTTCGATCGACAGCAGAGGTAATAAGGTAGGCTTTGTAACAGGACAACCAACTTAAAGGAGTATTAAAATAAAACAAAATTTGGACATTAAATATGATCGTGACATTCAAAACCGCATATATGTTTATTTTATTGGATGACTCAGCATGATGAGGTGTTAAGCACAACAGAAGAGGAGGGCATGGCAGAAATATCTTTGTACCGTTGCAACACACATAAAAGTTGCTGTGTTGAAGCTCCTCATAATGTCCGATATTGAAAAATACAGTAGGGCAGCTTCATGCGCCGACCACGATATCATCTCCCTTGAATTGTGCCACAAGGCACCAACCTGGATAGAACTGTGTTGGGCTTGAAGGAAAACTGGGATTCAGTTAATGATAATAGGAAGGATTTTTATCATTAACAACAGCCACACGGACTATGCAGTACACCCATTCTTCTAGTCAGTCCTAGAGTCCTTTTTCAAAGGATATATCACCTGGAGCATGAAGATGATCACTCACCTCCATCCAATGTTGAGAAAGGGTGGATGGAATGTTACATCCCTTCTTCCAGACACCTTCAAACCATGATCCTTATGGAAAGAGAGAATTTTACATTCACCGTTACCTTAATGAAATGGGTAACCAATGTCTATTAAGGTAAAAAGAAAAATAACATTGCCCCATCATGTATTGAAGTCTTCGATAACACAGATTAGAATACCTTCTTGTATAGAGTTTTGAGCTTACAAATTTGTTTCCAGAGCTCACATTGTACCAAAGAAAATGTGACAGTAGAACATGTTATATTAAGGTTGTAGAGGGACAGCGGAGTCTCAGAGTTTTAACTCTTTGTATTAGAATGCTGACTGTTTCTTCCTATCGTTCAGCAAAAATCATCATCAATACGAAAATAACAAACGGTTCACTGCTCATCGCCTAGAATGTTTCCTGCAGGTTCCAATCATGTCTCTTTGTACATGTGACCAAGAAAGGCATGTCAGAATTTTGATTTTTAATTGTCTGCACAATTTGGGAAGAGGAGCATTGATTTCAATGTTAGAGCATATTTCCTCCACTTTTTGGCTGGAAATAGTGATTTCTGAAATGCAATTTGTAGTCTCCAGCACTTGAGTGGCTGAGTGGATATATTAACAGTGGCACTGGTACACTGAAATATTTGTTGTCACAGCCATTGAATCAAATTCCAAAGCTAGTCCTTCAGGTTGACTTTTTCCAAGTAAATTATGCCCTTCAGATGCCCCCACAGGTAGGAGTTGGTAGGTGTAAAACAAGGCCACAGAGGCCGTGAAGTCAATTTGGTTCATCTCATCCATCAGCATGTGTGATGAGAGTCCAAAAGCTGCTTTATGTTGCTGGTAAAATAAACAGGAGCTTCGCCATGTGTAAACAACACAGTTTGTTACATTGTCAGTGGTACACCCAACATTATTTGAGATAATTCTGTTGAAAATGTAAATAAGATCCCCTAAGAGTTGAAACACTAACTCATAAGTTGATCACCAGTTTTTCCTGTCCAAATATTACTTTTAAACTAATGTTTCATCGCTGAACCCTCTAACAAGGCACTTGTGACCATTTCATTATAGATACTTCATCTTGGCTTGATTTTAGGAGTAGTACACAATTCTTAAATGAAATGCATGAAATTAAGAATCACCCACCCATATATTATCTACTGCAGGTGTCAGGCAATGAATCTGCATTTATCTTCATATTATTGTGTCATGACATGTAATTAATTTCATCGCCTGGTGTGAGAAGGCATCTGGACTGCGCAAAACTTGGCATAAAGACAAACTCATTGTTGCCAGTATGAAGATGCACTTAAGGCTGTTAAGGAGGGAACAATTGCAAAGGCCAAGTTAAAGTTGGAGAAGCAGCAACACAGAGTTAGAACTCTTAGCTAGACCGTAGACAGTTCTGGAATTACTCTAATTTCATCAAAACTTTATTTGTTTAATTATGATAAATGAATAGACACAATGCATCATTATGACACCATTTGTAATGTCCATTCATTGCTAACATCAGAACATCGGTCATAGATTTCACTGCATTTTAGTATCTAATGAACAGAAAGTCTCCAGATCTTTCTAGGGGGAACAAAGTGAAACACTTATTATCATTATATCAAGTTCCTCCATGCAGAGTGTCTGCTTCTGCCATCAAGACCTTCTAAGAAACATAAAATTGTAACATTAAAGTTAAAATGATTATAGAGAGATATTTACTATATACCAATATTAATATAAAAATACCTGATCACTTAAAGCTTCTAAGAGGTAACCCACAAAGTCATCTGCTGACAGAATGGTGAGTGAGTAGTTAGCAAAAAAAGATGACTGGAACTACTACCCTCTTAATTACATTTTTGCTCTGTTCTGTTTCAGCAAGCATTGTTTGCATTATGTATTATGACAAGTGTTCACTGTGCATTCATCTTATGTATTAACTCACATGTTCTTGAGTGTCAGCTGCAGTTTCTTTGCAGTTATTCAACCCACCATTTATCTGCCTCTCAGCATCATCACTTTGCTACTTTTATCGATCGGTCGACTCTTCTCCATTCCACGAAACTTCATACCAAGATATATATCAGCAATAATTCCGTCTAAAGAATGATCCCCTTAACATTTTCGTTTTGTTTCTATTTTTCAACCGTTTCTCATTCTATTCCTGAGAAGGCCAAAACATGGTGCCATACAAAACAAAGCATGTTACCTCAACTACAGTAATTTGCTGACAGTTCGAGTGGATTGAAAATTGTAAAGGAACTGTTTCTGAATATTTTGCGTCTTACTCTGATAGATGCAGCCTGTGAAGAACAGAGTTCTAACTGCATTAGTTTTCCTACATGTATTTAGTAATGCCACATAATTGTCAATATTGCTGCATAATACCGCAACAGCCAAGTGAAGATATAACTACAGATATAAAAACATATTTCTTAAGTATATATTTTGGAGGAGCTTAAAAATGATCAAATATGTAGCAGTTTATCATATAATCTGTTTATATTCATTTAATCGTAAATATCATTTATTGCATGGGATGGAAATAACTGTTAATCTTACATTCCGAAGGCATGACATCTGACACATTGAAGGAGCCGAAATATCACTCATCACATCCTGGACTTCAAAACTGCTGAGAATTTCTTCTTCAGTACAATCCATTAGGCATCAGGACTGGAGCTATGTAAGAGCATGACTGCAATACCAATAATAAAAGTCACAAATTAGCAAGTAAATTCAAATCTACTTGAACTTACCTAATATGCTGTGTATAAGATAAGAAAGTATGTCTTATTAAGAAATGATGATCAAATTGTATCTTAGTTTTAGAATGTAAACTAGACCCATGAAAATTAAACATGTCTTCATTATGAGTAAAGTCCGTCAGTGAAGCTGACCCCGAGTTAGGTGAATGTAATTTACGTTACCAGTACCAATTTATTAGGTCATGTTTTACCAATGCATGGCACTTCCTGGGGTACCAGGAGAAGGCATCCAGAAATGGACATAAGCTGGAAATCAGGTTGGATGCTAACAACTACTCACCATAACAGAACTAGCAAATTAAGAACATTTACACAGTGCTAATTTTTTAACTACCTGTTGGTATATCTGAAGGGCATAAATCACTAAAAGAAAGAAAGGCAACATGCAGTATGAGGACTAGTGTTTTATTAAAGTGCTTGCAACAACAGATCAGCACATATTTGAAATTTTTTAGTGTACCAGCAACTTCTAGTGTCAATGACCTCCTCTTCTGCTTTTAAAAATTACAGCAATTTTCAGATACATCTGTAAACATTATAAAACACTTATGTTGAACTGTAATAAGTAATATCTGCATAAATCACAGCATTACGTGTCTCATTTGATTATATAATGCATTCCACTCTTTCTAACAAATTGACTGTGGCCAAATCTTTATAGGAAATGTTGTGCTTGATTCTAGGAGTGGAACATTATCCTTATACTTGCTACATGTAATTAAGAACCAATTTTGCCATGTACATCTGTTCTGAACCGTTCATGACATTAAATGGACATCTCTTCCAAAATTAAATTCCTCATATATTCAACAGACATTTTCTTTATGACCTGTGCGCCTTGTAGTTCAGTACATACATAACAATATCCTTTGTGTAGATGCGTGTGTCCATCTATGAATAATACATATTTGAAGTCAGTATGACTTTCCAATCATTTATAAACTTCTTAAAAAAATAAATAAATAAATACAGAATGAATTTGATGCTGTAATTCTTATTTCACTCATTTCCTTCCTGTCTGATCATCATCTGTAATTTCTGTTTATTTTAATCATAGTTCCTTACGTACTGTTTTCGGTTCCCACTGGAATAAAATATTAATTTCTGAAGAAACTATTAGTTTTCAGTGCAAGTGAGAAGGAAGAAAATAACAATGTAACAATTTTCTAAATGCTGGTGATGACAATGATTATTCTAAAGCAGAGGTTCCCAGAAGACACTGATGTTCCATGAGCTGGCCTAAGGTCTTCTGCCACTGAAATTTTGTATTGGTGGTTTCATGGATGGACAGGAATATCTCAATTTAACATTTTTCTCAGTCTTTCATGGAACCTGGAATCACTGAATTCCATCTCTGGCAGTGGTGTTATTACTGCCAAAAGACAGACATTTTCGTAAACAACTAATACTTCATCATAATTCAATAATTGTCCTTAGAAAGAAACTTAACAACAACTTGTTTTCCAGCAGACAGATTCACACAGGTGGTACAAAATAACAGAGTAATTTAAGTGTTCTCATCTATGTATATACATATTATGTACCCATAACACAGGTGGCATGGTTAGCTCAACAACATAATTTCGTGAATATACATGTTCATAGTTGTGTTCTTATATAGTGGCATCAGTGCATATATTTAACCATATTTGTCATTAAGTATGGTAGGTGCTGGGCATGAGAGAATGGAAAGAAGAGGTGAAAAATTCTGAACTGGATTTTGCTGATCCCACACACAGCGCCTTTGGAAGTCAGGCATGTTCAGTGCCTTTTGCCCTGATCATCACTTCTCTGTAAATTGGCAATTCTGAATGTGACAAATCCTCTTAAGATAAAGATTTATCTGTTGTTTAATAAGCATTACACCATGTACACTTATGGGAGTGAAGATATGGCTTCACACACTCTTCACCACCTTGCCACCAGATGGATAGAGTGGGCATTACATATACGAGGCTGTGTGGGCTACAGAACTGGTCTGGCCAAAGTGGCAAAGAGGAGGATCTGTACCACTGCTGCCAACAATTGCACCGTGGTTGTCCAGTATGTAATCTATTTGCTGTAGCGAGTAAAGTGTTTCAGAACAAACACATTTCAGTTGGCATACAGTGTCTTGAATTTGGTTTTCCTGTGCATTCCTAAGAATAGATTAAATGGAAACTAGTTTCAATAACTTGCGATAAGCACCACTTGCATTTAACTCTTAAGGGGTTCCTATCATAAAAAGAAACGAGGCTTTTACAGAAAATGTCATATATTATGAATGTATTCTCATACCTGGATTACTTAGGCTTCATTGGCCATACGTTTCTTCCAACTCTCTGTAATTGTAGTGCCATATGCTTCATGGAGTGTAACTGGCAATCTGTGGCACGACATTTAAATCCATCATTCTTTTACAGTATAGGTTCATACCTGAGGTATACAGCATTGTCTAGAAAACATTTTAGGACTATTTAAGCTTACAAAAACAGCAGCTTCCTATCAAAGTTTTTCAAACATAACCTCTCTTTCATTCAACTCCTCACACATTTTAAAGACATTCTTTCTGAAATGAAACCTTGTCACTTACAGTTTCATCACTGATAAATCTTGGCTGTTACCACCATTGTTACACTATATTCACATTCATTTTTGCAAGTAATTCTACATTCTGTGTGATGCATACCTAACCATGTTTTCCGACACACTAGTGACAGGTAGTACACTAACGCAAAATTCAGATACTGCTGAATCACCACTGGCCAATACCCACGATAAATCTCTCTTTTATATTCTATATCAATTAAATTAGTGAATTGAATAAGGCAGAAATTCAGCACAAAAAGCCTCATACATTATAGTTAGGTTAGAAAATTTAATTTACGCTCATATTTATTCTTTTCTAAATGCGCTCGATGCTACTTTTGCAATTAAACTTTAATCACCCACCAAGTAACATCGAATAAGGACACAAGAGTAGTGTGAATAATTAGTAAACCACTTCAGTATTAAAGCACTTGACAAGGTTATGTATTACAGGTTAAGCTATCAAATGAATACTAATCAAAAATTGCGGCCAGAACAGTTTGGCTTCAAGGAATAGCCACTGAAAATGTTGCCTCCATGGTGAAAGCAATCAATAAATATTCATTATACCCACAAATGTATTCACCAGTTATTCCTACTGCAGACAGCTAGTATCTCCAAAAGCAGCATTAACCACCTGTTTCTTGTAGTGGTTATGAGTTGTGTTTTCTTTGAGATAAAGCCTAAATGTTTCAATATTAAGCTCTAGCATCAAAGGTTTAACGAAATTGGGTTGTAGTCTATAGACTGGATTTATCTGGCTCAGTATAAGGAGAGATGGCATGGTCTTGTAAACATTGTAATTTATCTTTGGGTTCCATAAGAGGTGGGGAATTTCTTCACTACCTGAGTGATTACCAGCTTCTCAAAAACTCAGCTCTGTAATGTTAGTTTGTTAGTAGAAAACCATGTTGGTTACTGTACATGACCAAGGTCTCAAAAGCAACATGAGTGGCCAATCTGTTGTGAGGGTAGGGTAACAGCACCTAGTATTCAAGAGAAACAGATAAATTTCACTCTGGTCTCACAAAAACTGTGTAATATTTTGACTACATTCAGATCAGGTTCAGGAAGAGAGTGTGCACATCAGTGGGTTTTAATTTTCTTTCTACCTTTTCAGTAACTGTAGCAAAGTAATTACCAACTACTTAACTTGTGGTAGGATGTACTTATCACTGTTTAACATAAATTACCACAGAACAGTTACTTTTTGTTTGTTTTTTGCCCCTCCTTAAAAATTGCACTTAAAGATTCTAAACTTTACTTTTGTATTGTTAATATCTGAAACATTATGTATTTTTAGTGTTGGAAAATTGAATTGTTGTGTTCACAAATCAAAGTTCTTCGGCTATTTTTCTTTCTGATAACATAACATGTATGTATGTGTTATTACTGTGGCATGGTGAATCACTGAATTGTAGGGCAAACTACTATCGTAATGCATTATGTTTAACTTGGCTCCTTGAGTTTTAAATATTTCAGTTCTCTGTATTAAAATTACTTTATTTCCTTTATATAAAACCAGTTGTTTCATAATTCTTAGAATGTGATAACTTTACATTTTGTCTTTTAAGATGAAGGATCATGATATTCTATACTAACATGTACAGTACTGTCTGCATGCAAGATTGATTATGTTAAAAAAATCTTTATTTTCATAAGCATGATTATTTAAATTTACTACCTATTATACGGTTCTCTAGTTACAAACCACAGAATTCCATTTTAAGTCTCTGTTTTAGATTATATGTCATACTCATGTTTCATTAATCATATATTTTTAAATAACTAGAGCAGAGCGCTCCTTTCAGAGCTCCTCGGGGGATTGGTCAAGTTTTTAAAACACAACCAACCCCCCCCCGAATGGGGAGGTTAACACACTTGACCAACCCCCCCTTGGGGGGGGGGGGTAGTTTGGTGTCTATTTGTTTACTCGGCATTGTTGTGTTGGTACAACAACGCCGAATAAACAAATATAACGTAACATTGTTTGATGACGTCATTTTTTGACGACGACAAATCACAAATTTTTATAGTAGACTGAAGTGCATGAACAGCTGTAAGCTCAATCAACTTTGTGGCAAATAACAACCTACAACATTTTTTACTGGAACAGAAGTAATATACATAATATAGTAAAGTAATGCTATCCCACTAAATGCCATAGAGGTGCTTGGGAGGAGTGGAGGTATAGCTTCTTGTTCTTGACTTAGGCACTAGACAAGGGTCAGTGGTCAGCACATTCCAGCTTTACTCTACCCGTGAGGAAAGAACTCCAGTACCAAAAACATAGGCTAGGCAGACCCCAGAGCTAGTCTTGTTGCACAGACTAGAAGAAAAGTCCCTTTCTCCTGCTGGGTATGAAGCCATGGTCATCCAATCCATAATCAGACACTATATTGACTGAGCTACCCTGACACCAATATATTATATTAGGACCGTAATTAATATGGATACATATGGTTAATTTTTATTTATTTTTATTTTGTAGCAATACAAACTGAAGAACTTCAAAGCTTTTAAAGGTTCAATGTAGTACTCACTCTTGTCAAACATAAATGGTTGATTGATTAATCTATTTAAAGTTAGTAATTTGCTATGGAACATAAAAAGAAACCAGTCAAAACATGTATTTAAAGAATGAAACTTTAAACCACTGTTTCTGTACTGATGTGATACATTTTGAATTCAGATGTGTTTCTACACATTGTGTAAGATGTAAAAAGTCTATAATGGTGAGATCTTGTTGAACCCTGCTTCCTCATCATACTGGCCTATGCTGCATTTTATTTGTTATTAAGGATCTAACTGCCTCCCTTCTCATTCTCCATGCATAATCATCTCTGTACTTTTACTTGGTGCAGTGATCTATAAAATATACCTGAGGAGACATGTAAAGCAGGAATTAACATTTTTTTCTTTGTGTAGGCAAGATTACAACTGATTAAGATTGAATTTTATTTACCTTGCTTAGCATATGTTTTCGTTAATCCATTGGTCTGTTATATCTTTGTATTTTCTTACTATTTGAAAAGATCAGTTTCATACAAGTTCAAGTTTAACCACGTTAAATTGTATTTACTCTCAAAATAAAGCTCATTATTCATTATTTTATGTGGAATAAAACATAGTGTGCCATCTACTGTCACTTGTATAAGGAAAAGAATCAAAGTCTGCACATGCAACTGGCATTTCACTGCCTGTGCAAGGCAATGGATGTAAGTGTTTGAAATGTAATGATTTATATACTACTGACAATTTTATGTGGTAAAATTCTCATGGATCTCTCCTGTCTTCAACTTAAGGAAGATGATGTACTTACTGTATTTTGACTAGTCCTTTTGTATTCATATGATCTTTTTACCACTAATACAGAACTATTTCTATTGCAGAGATGATAAACTGGACCACTTTTCTTTTTTGTGAACAGATGACTCCATTTTGCTCTTGTATTTTTCTCCAAGATAACAAAAAAGACAAAGAAGGCAAAGCCTTGTAGAGTGGCTGTGCAACAGAATAAGTAAGAAAGCTTCCAAATTCCAAAAATCCAAGACAGACCAAGAAGAAAAAAGAGAAAAATAAGAGTGCTTAACTTTCTGTAAGCAATGCTCTGTTTGCATTGTTGTTTGTTTGAAAATTGTAATTCACAATTTGCATGCACTCCAATTTTACCAAGTTTGTATATGGAACATGTGATCAGGACAAACATAACTATGTTTAATGACATAATTATGGATACAGGAGCAATAACAGAGAGGTAATGTGCCATCCCTTTTGGGTAACATTGTGGTGAGTTATAAGAGTCAGGAGAAACAATCAACAAAGTACCACAAGGGACAAAGGGAAAGCCCCAAGCAAAGATTGTTGTTTTGAGTAGAATATGAGGGGTGCGGCACAGAGAAGTTAATGGTTTTGTAAGGCGCAGATACTGAAACCATGCCACTACAAGCATCCAACAAAATGTAGCCATTAAGGAAAAATGCATTGCTACTCCCAGTACAAGGCAGAATTGAGATTCATTTGGAGGTATGAATAGAGAGGCATTTAGAAGGAAAACTGACATTAGTATGCCAAGGGAAGCAGAGAGATGAAGCTGGATCTTTTTACTAGCACCATGTCTCCAGTCAGGAAAGGCAATAGCTGTCACTGCAATCCCAAATAAACCAAATAAGGAGATTGAGCACCCAACAATTGTAATTATGTCTAACGTTACATCCACCTCCTTTTCAGCTATGGGAGAAAGAAGCTGACCAAAATGTGTCAGATGGGTACAAATACAAACATCTGTTTTCACTGTGTGATCCCCACTGAGTTTAACAGCAGGTGTGCATCCAATATCAGACCATCTGCCAAGCCTTGAATTTGCATCAAAATCCCAAAAAACACACTCTCTGTCCTGTGGCAGAATGTTGCGTGGCCTGTGGAATATGAGCATCAGAGGAGGATTCAGCTGTGTATGTTTCACTCCATCTAATGTTATGCTCATGACATGTAAAGGCCTTCTAATTCTAACGTTGTTAGATGCAAAGAAACTATCATCCCAGAAGAGATTTATGACCAGGCGATGTTTTCTTAAAACTTCTGAGCTATTACAAGTCTTCAGATGGAAAGTATCACACGTGTCTTCTGTTTGCTCCAGTGTAAGTTGTGGAGGCAATAACACAGCAGCCGATACTTCCAGAGCAAGAAGAGTTTCAACACTCTCATTCCATGACATGATCATGATGTCCTAGAAAGCATAAAAAATCCATAATTTAATTTATTTTACTTTCAATTAGCATATATTCTTATGATAGTTCTAATTTACCTCTTTCTTGAAGTACTTGTTAGAATATTTGGAAGCTTTCACAGCGGCAAGTCCTTGAAGTCCTCCTTTTGCTTTTGAATTTGTTTCTACATCCATAACTAAGGTCACAAATCTTGGTGTGACAACCAGTGACATTTCTGTAGTATAATAAAACAAGTTTCAGTTTCTGTATGTTGAATATTAAACACTATATTAAACTAGTTATTATCTGTGAATGCACTGTGTAATTGCTATGTTTGCAGTGGATTCAACTATACCTCTTATTTGTGACTGTTAATACATTAAAAATTAACTTACCAACCAATTTATTTGATGGTCTTTCTTGAAAATTTGATAGTATCTCAAATCACCAAGAAATCTTTGTCATTTACAGAAACTGAAAGTTCATTGTCATATTCATAGAAGTCCTTTTCTGAGTCAGTTAAATTCAGTTCATATCATCATACAATATTTACTGAGGACTTATTAAAATACTTGTATTTTGTAAGCTGTTATCCTAATATTCTGTGTTTCAACTTTCAGTTTCCATACTCATATAGTTTTCATATCTAAGTCATCTTCATGTGATTCAGTGTGACTTAAGGTTTTCTTGAATATCAGATGCACCCAAAAAAGTTACCAGCCTCTCACAGGGCAATTACAGTGGTAGGTTTCCATGTTGCTGCCTCTGGACTCACAGTGACACATAACATATAATAACAAACATACCATCAGAACTTGGTTCTTTTGGGATAATGCAGTGAAATTTCCTACATTGCAGTTATAGTGGTTATATTGCCTTGACATGGTCACTAGAACCTTGTCTGTGAAAACAATTCCAGTTTTTGTGAACATGATAATGAACCTTCAGGTTCCATAAAAGATGGGGAATTTCTTAACTGAATGACTATTAGCTTCACAAGAAGGATTTTTCTGGTCCATGGAGTCAGAGTGAAGGTGAAGAATGAGTATAAGGGACATATCCCACCATTTATGCTCATACATGCACTAACAAAAATCTAATGTTGGCCTAATGACAATAAAAATCATGATTATTTGATATACTTTATAACATAAGAAATTCTCTTCAAGTACACAATTAATGGCATGCCATGCTGAAGATTCAATTACTTACCTTTGTAGTTAAGTTTTATTTTATTCAACATATGATCAACTGAGTCCAAAATAATATTGCTGGCATTGGTCACTTTATGTGTCATGTTGTTTTCTTCAAAATTGATATCTGTTTCATTCACAGACAATCTCAGTAGAGCATCAGTGATATTGGCAATGACTGGCAAATCTGAGTCATATAGAATTCTGTGCTTAAGGTTTGCCAAAGTGTTGGCAGCATATTGGATTTCAGCTGGAGTAAAATGGGTGACATTGCCAAACTTCCTGGTATCTTGGGAAGTAAGAGCAAATTGTAACTTTTTGAGGGTTTTGGTAGCATCCTGGTTTCTTTCTGCTTGTAAAGAAAGATTATGCAGAAAGCTAGCTCTCAGTGATGGCACTTCACACTGTAATGAAGGAATGGGTTCATGTATGTTGAGTTGAACTTCACACATGGCATTTAGAAATAATATACTACATGCTGTTTCTGTCTACTGCAATGAAGATGTCTCAAGAACTGCTTTACAAATTTTTCTGATCACAGAATATATTTGGCCAAAAAAATTACTGACAGAACCCTAAACCAAAACAAATCATACAAAATGGAATATGGAGTCTATGTATGGTAGGTACTTAAGAATGAGAAAATAAACAAAGATGGATTGTGCAGCCTACACCCCCCCCCCCCCCCCAACAAGCCATGAAAATCTGTGGAAAAGGAAATACATCTGAGATTTTATCAGTTGTTTCATATATGTCTGGCACTAACTTCAGTCTGTTAGACTGCAGGCTGCTAAGTTATGCTTGTATAAATAATTTTTTCAATATGGTTGAAATACTGGGGTTGCAGCAGTGGAAAAACCGTGCATTTGAAGTACATTCCTAGAACTTACCAATGGTGAATGGCATTTGAAGACAGAAAAAGATTTCATGATTGATAGTAATGACTGATGGCAATGAAATCTACAAAGCCCATAAGAATCCTTCATAGAACCCTAGCATTCTGCAAAACACAGTTTGGGAATTATAGCCCTAGATCACACTGAGGCTGGGATTTATTATGTCAAGTGTGGTCTTTCAGGTTGTGATTCTGTGGGGTCATGTGGATAGTTACTAATGTTTTTTATGGATGTTTGTAACAACCTATAAGACCACACAGTATCACAACCATCAGGAGACAATGACTGATATCTTTACTGCCATGAGAACCTCAAATTTCAGATGGAGTTAATTTTGTACCTTCAGGAATAATACCTGAGTAGAGGATTATAGTTACATTTCCTGTATTGAGTTACAATTTTAAGTTGCTGCTTAAATCCAAACCATTGTCAGTAATTTTAAATTAATAAAGAAGAAAGTATAAAAGGCAGGGAAATTCTTGACTAGCTGAGTACATGAAGTTTGTCAAGAAGGACTGCTCCAAGGAGTGAGTTAGTTTCACTAAGTACGTAGTTATATGTTAATATAATGACAATCAGTCACATGAAAATGGCAGAACAGCCATGGATATTAAATATATCTAAGAGAGTGGACAGTGTCCAACCAATGTATCTGGTGTAATCAATCATTATCATACCTTACCTTATATAGTGTCCTGTTATTTTTATTTTGATCAAACCAGAAAGCTCCCACAACAAAATCTCCAATGCACTGCCTATGAACAGGAACTCCTTCCCCATCGACACATAGTTCACTGGGTAGAACTGTTTGTCCAATGGTAGCCACTGGCCAGTGCAGTATTTTGTTGCCATATGCTTCTTCCTCATGGCAAAACTTTGTACTCCGGACATACAAAACATCTGTCAGACCATCAGAATTACTTGATAAAATGCCTTTAAATATAGAATTGAGCTTGTTTAAGTGGTAATGATCAGTTTCAATCTCCCCTTGAAATGCTTCAGAGAAGATTTTGATGCGGAATATAAGTGTGATTGTATTTTCAGTCCTGAAAAAGAAAATGTTACAGTATTTGTCAAATATACAGAATGGTCTCTACAAATATATTCACTGCATGCTTGCCAACCCCCCAGCCCTCATCACAAATGGCAGCTGAGTTTTCAAAAGAATGAATATATTTTCTATAGACTAATACAAATAATACAAAAACTCAACACCCATAATGCAGATGGCTTTCATTAACACACACACATGTAGTTTTAATATGAATTTGTTTCTCCAATTGAAATACATGTTATCTTCTTTAAAGTGATAGTTAAATGCCAGGAAATGAATAGTTTAAGGTGACTTTAAGAATATAAAAGAACAAACTGAAGAAAATAATCTAGAATATTGAACAAATATATCTCAGACACAGAGAGATGCCTAACTTTTATGTATTCTTTGTTTCATTAGTGAAAGTGGCAGTTACTTGCCTGCTCCTTTCAAATAAACTATACTGAAATAGTGAAATTGCTGGATGACAATCTTATGAATATGTATTCTGACTGACACGTGCATAAAATGTACCAAAAGGGTTCATTCTTCTCCCAGGATTTTATAAAAACAAAAGAACACACAACTCTCCAAGTGCAATCCTGCAGCTCACCGACGTCAAATATGTTAAGCTCCAAGACAAGTCATATGATTGGCTTGTAGGTTTTGTATTCCTCTTGGGATGCATCGAGGTCCAGGTTCCCTTGTACTCATTTTCAACATGTTTTGACCTTGACGTGAGCGTTACAGGGGAAGTCGGGAGAGTCTATTACACACAGGCTGACCTGCTTCTGATTTAGTTTTGAACTGTAGAACATTATTCTTGTTGGATAGTATTTTAAATTGCACACTCCATATTTACGAATAACTACTCCAGGAGAAGAATAAAAAAAGGAAAGAAATCAGTGAAGAATCCTTGTTCAAATAGAGTTCCTCTTGTATCTTTAATCAAACGAGAATTGGACACCATCAAAATTTAATGGACGTTGTGGTCTGACAAAATTTTATCTCAGCTTCTAGTCAGATTATTATCACCCACTGCCTAGGTGACTTCACGAAGCTATCTTTCATTGTCAAATGAGATTAATTCAACACAGTCAGCTCCTGATAAACATGAATTATATTCCTTAAAAAGATATGAACTGTTAGGACAAGGTTAAATGACTGCCTAGAAACAAATGGACATAGATCACATAATGCATTATAATAAAATACATTATGGTTGTCTAGCAGTGAGAACAGAAAGAAAAGGAGAAAACTGGATGGAGGAATTTTATAAATAAAATTTTATAATCTGGCTTCCTATAAAACCTCATTTAGTTTCACTCTTATAAGTTCAGAGTTCCTTCTTTATTAAAATGTTTGTTTAACATGAAAGGCAAATACATGATAATGTATAATAATTCCACAAACTTTGAAAATTGGGCTGAAAACTGATATTAAATTAAAAAGTGCATTAACTCTTTTTGCTAAGTTCAGTTCTTATTATCAGAAGTAACTTTTCAGTCTCCTGTGTCTTATATTTGCAAATTTAATTTGAAATATATTTCATTGCATGCCATTGTCATTCAATGTATGATTCTCCCCTTTCAATCAGTCACCAACCCTGCTGCTCTTAAATCAGTCAGTTGTAAGGTATGCAGTATTCAATAAACTACTGAAATTTGGATATCAAAGGAGCAATTCACCCCTAATTCTAAACCTTAGCTAATTCTCTGTTCTGGAACCTGAATTTTCAACACTGCAGATATCAAATACAGACATTAGACAAAATTCTGAGCCAGTTCCATTCATCTTCCATCCTTGCAACCTACTTCCCTAATATTATCCTGTTTCCTTCCTGGCCTCCTAAGAGTTTCTCCAAGAAAATAATTCTTTATGGAATTTTTGCTTGCCAGTTTAACCTAAAGTCACCACCCCCACAACACTAGACAAGCTGTACAAATCATACAGTTGTTCATTATGTAATATTCTAAACTGCCCATGTACTTCAGCCTTATGTCAAAATACTTTCCTGAGCACTTTGTTTTCAAACACCTGTAATTTATGTTCTTCCCTCAAAGTCATTTAGCACTTCTAAATGGGTTTTACTTTTGAAACTCTATTCTTATCTAAGATGTTAGTTTATTACATAAATTCTTCTCCTGTTGAATTATGGAAACAAAAATCAGTGTTTCAGCAATTTGTATGTTTGAAGAAATAATGTGCTTTTTTTTATATGGCAAAAATGCTCCATCCAGAACAGTGAAAAGGCTAACAACTGAAAATAACCTTAATCTATTGAATAAGTTATTTCTTCATAGTACTGCCTTCATTTTACGTTAAGTTCTGGGCTCTTGTAAACATAGTAATGAAACTTCAAGCTGCATAGAAGGTGGGGAATTTGTTAACTAGCTGGGTGACCATTAGCTTCTCAAGAAGGATTCTGCTTCATGAAGTTAAGTTTAATTTTAGTCTTACATAACTAAATAGAGGCTTACCTTTCTGACATTCTGATCGGACGCACTGTAATTCTGCTAAATTCTTTGTATTTTTTAAGTCTTTGTGATAGGTCCTCAGCAAGTGATTGCCATTTCTGCAAACTATAGGTTGGCTCACACAACGTGAGAGGGCAACCATTTATCCATTTTTTCAGTGCAACTGCAAAAATAAGACCCTTGTCGTCTGACCTGTGGGACAGGAGCAAAGAATATACACCTACTACATTCACATATTCTGTTAGTAAAATAAACTTATTTTGCTATTTGTTCCAAAATTTACTTTTAGTCGCCTAACATGCTTTGACTTTTGGTCATCTTCAGGAATTTTTCACCTGTCCTAATAGTTGGCAGAATGATATCATATAAGTAATATTGCATGAAGATATATTTATTTTCCTTGTTGATGCACAGAATCTATTTCTGAAGATTGCTGCCTTCTGGGTTACTGCACCATGTAGTCTGTTAGATTTCCACCAATGTCAGTGGAAATCTATCAGTCACTTTTAACTAAAACTTCCACTGTGACTTCAGACTCACCACTGTGGAAACCTCAAATCCTACTTAAACAATATACGATATGTTATGAATATATTTTGATGAAGAAAATTTGTTCCAGAATTTGGTTTTAATGTTTATCCTACATCAATAGAAATTTTCAGCCTCTTGACATAACTCACCTAAATAGTTGCCTTTTTGTCACAATTTCATTGAAAGTGTCTGCAACAAAAGCTCTGCATGTGACATAACCTTCATTTTCTGAGATGATTCTAAACACTGCTTTGCTAAGAGAATAATGGACTGTATTTCCAAGTGTACTGTTTTCACTTTCCCAAGACAATACTTGGCGTCGGTCCAGCAAACACATATTATCGACCCATGGATTTCCATCTTCTATTATACATACTGGATTTCTTATTCTTCTAGTACTGATGACAAAGCCCCAAAGGTTCTCTGGGCTATATACATCTAGAAAGTATGTGTTGTTTTCCTTCCTGAAACGTAAACATTCTTAGTAATCATACAGCATTTCAATGCATGTTTCCTTTCTTGTAATTTACAGAGAAGACTGCGTGTTTGTCTGCATGCGCACACTCACAAACATACTTCATAAATGAGTTTTTGAGCTTTTCTGCCTTGCATAAGATTTCTTTCAAAGAATACTCCAGAATTTTTAACCTTTCCATGTTATATTTTTGGATTCAGTCTAATCAAATGTCAGACCAAGTCAGACAATCCACACAAAATTAAAATTCTAATAAATTAATTGAAAATGGCAATAATGATTTCCCACATTTAGATAAATAGACCTCAAGGAGGACTTAACAAAACAAAAACAAAAACAACAACTTGATCAGACATCTGAAAATTCACATACCAGTCTAATGCTGGATTAGTCCAGCAGTTTCAAAGTTAGAACTAAATGAAGTGACCTGTGTAGCATTATAAGCTGAAGCATATATGACTGCTGTGGTGGTGAGGTATCCAGTACAGTGACAGATGATAGAGCTGCATTACTACACAGAAGAATGCACTGCAAGGGTGGTCAAGGAACTGAGCATTGACCACCTATTTTATCCAGTACATGTCTCTTGAATGTAGACAGGAGGCAAAATTCACAAGCATTAAGCCAAATATTGGAATCAGAAGCGTAGCTACAATTAAAGATAATGACAAACTGCAACACATGTAAACAGAAATTTATAAGATTAGTGATGAAATATAAGGAGGAATAAATCATAAACTGGGGTACAACAATGATGAGATACAGTACTATAGTTTATAAAGTACAAAATGTAAAATTATAAAAATAATGTAAAGGCATTTAGAAGCAGACATAAGACCAGTGAGTCATGTCCAACACTGTAACTGTAACCAACAGACTTAATAAATGCCAATGTCAATGCAGACAGGAGGCAAGGAACACGAGCCAAGGCATAGCCCAGCACAACTAAAAACCATAAATTGCAATGCACTATGGGCCTTGAGGAAAATATATGTCAGCTATTTCACATGGAAAACAATAAAACGGTCTTCTTAGCTGTTGTTTACACTTTAATGTAACAAAGAACACTTTATAGGTACATTCAATCTGTCTGTCACGTCTTTCAGATGAGATCATGATGCCATATAAATGTCACCATATACATTTTTGTTCTGCCAAATAACTCAATAATGACTGAATGAGTTTTCACAGAATTTGGTATGGAAGTTATGCCATTCAAGCTACTTCAAATTTGTATTATTTCGGTGCTCTTTACTCTCTATCATCTTTACTATCTATTATCTTTACTCTATCTATGGACGTTTGTTGTCTTTCTGTTAGGATTTCAGCCACAGATCTTGCTGCCATCTGTTGGTCATCAAACTGTGTCAGCCATATAATTACTCGAGAATGGTTGATAAAATTTTCCCTGAAGAATGACTCAGAGTGATACCCTAATATTCCTCTGATGCCCTTGACTTTTACTTCTTATGGATCTTATGCACACACATTTGCCCTGATTACAATAGCTTGAAACACAAAGTGTACAAAAGAAATCCCCATACATTACATGAACTTTAAGAAAATGTTTGGGAAGAAATATCCAGGATATCCCCACCACATCTGCAACATGTGAACATATTCTCATGCTGCAGTGCATTTTTACAAGCATAAGGGGAACATTTTCAACACCTCCCATAAATTCATAAGTTTGTTTCAAAGCTTATTTTGTTTTCTTCAACTGAGTTCAAAACGACCCAGTTTGCCAGAGCGTCAGAGATGCTCAGAGAATGGTAACATGATAGGAAGTCCAAAAACAAAATAAGAACACCAAATTTGAAGAGTATGTTTAGATATGCAGTTGGTTTTCCTCCAACATGACAATGCAAGCTCTCATGAGTGCGCAAACTACTGCAGAGATTCCTCGCCTTGATTTTACCATCTTGCATGACATAACACACAGCCCATTTTTGGCTCCATCTGATTTCCATTTTTGTTTCACTGAAATAGCTGTTCCCATTATAGAAGATAAAATAAAGCATTATTTTTAGAATGTCTTCATATTTGTCATGTCCCCTTATGTTACATACCCTGCCCATCTAATCGTCCTTGGTTTGATGATGATATAAGGCATAACAACAATACCAATAGGAAAAAGGTCACTTTACAAAGCTCCTCATTGTGTGCATTTTGTCATCTTCCTCTTTTTTTCTCTTTCTTTCACACATGTCCAATATTCTCTTTAGCATTCTATTTCCAAACACCCTGAACATACATCCTTCTCAGTTAGAGATATGAGTATGTTATTTTACACTTGATGTATTTTTAACCTTAAAATATGAAGATAAAAGCAGAATATAATTTACCTTATCTCAAGCTTTGGAGGAACAAGAATGGAATTTTCTTGGCCTTTCTTTTTGTGTACTTTGGGATGCTGTCTACTACACCCACCGCTTTGGTTCTCACATGGATAGGTGATGCAAACAAAGTTGTGGACAGCCTTATCGCATTTATCCAACTTACTATGGAGAAATGCATCATCATTCATTCTATCAAGTATGATTACCATGCAGAGATCTTCTTCATTAAGTACAGGTTCATTTTCTGCCCATTTGATTGATATGCCATCACTATAAAAATAAAATTTTTGATAAATCGCAAAGTATATTTTTAAACCAACAATTCTCAATAGAAATCTTTGTGGCCACAAGCAAGCAGCAGCTATTTTTATAAATAATATGAAAACATCAAATATAAAGACATTTTATGTTTCAAGCTTTGTTAAATTTCCAGAATTTCATTTTTGCGCTGAACTTGAATAAACTCAGCACATAAAATGTTGTTTATGAATACAACAGTGAATTTTTGCACTAATCACTGTTATAAAACTATTCAAAGACAGAATTTATTGCCAGTTCTGTAGCAGGTATCCTCCAAAGGATCCAGACACATAGTAGTGGGTTTTACTTCCAGATATGGAAACCCAAATGTAAAAATACATAAATGAATCAATATAAAAATTATTTTGATAGCTCTAAATAGGATAAAATATTACATGAAGGTAAAGTTGAATGTTATCCTTTGCCTAAGTAACATGCTTTGAAGGTATATGAGGAGGACTGAAGGTCAGCATCATGCCACCAGTATCCACTGAATACAGCTGTTTTAAATGTGATGATAAAAAGATAAACTGCTGTGAGAATCCAGCCTGTACCCAGTCACTGCACTGGATTATTAAAGCCATATAACTGTGTTAATCAAAGAATACAAAAACTTACAAGTTCTTTTCCTGGATTAAGTTCTTTCCATAATAACTGCTTGATGGAAGTTGATAAGTTATGGGGTCAAACTTTCTATTCCTCTTTGCCTCAATCCACAATGAATTGATCTCTTGGCTCAACTCGACTGTAACAATATGTATCAGCTCATCCATGCTAATGTTGATCAGAGTAATATTGGCTTGTGCTTGATGACATCTTTTCAGTGCAGTAAACCAATCTGTCTGAGGGCCCACATATATGCATTTACCTGATATGTGAGTGAAATTTTCTGGACATCCCATCTGTTCTTGTGCTAGGGAAGATTGAAGTATGTATATTATACAATGTTCCTAATTTGGCAGTATAGCTGTAAACTGTATTTCCCATACACACAGAAATAATAACATATATATTAAGCTGTAGAAATTATTCTATCATTAAGCAGGATTTGGGGTTCTCATGGCAGTGAGTACGAAGACGGCTGTCTTCTGGGTTGTAGAGCCATGTAGATTGGTAGAAGTTTACCAACGTTTTAGAGATCCTTACTGTCCTCATCATCAGTGAGATGAGTAAGCCATTCATGTGTAATCAGTTTGAGATACAGGAACCAGTCAGTCAAGGCAGAATCTTGGCCAGACCAATGGGGAATAGGGTCAGGATCAGACGATAGCCTGGGAGCCCTCCCGCCTTTCCTGTTGGCTTTCAGGCCCTCACCCAATCCTGATCCCACTACACACCATCACTGACGGAGGTAGCAAGGACCTCTGAAATGTCGGTAAACTACTACCAGACTACATGGCGTAACAACCCAGAAGACAACTGTCTTTGGACTCTCTCTCAGTTACTCTCTTTAGCGTACTGTTCTTTTTGCCAGGGGTTTCAAATGAAGTACCTTGTTTCTTACATACTTCTGCTTTTTAAATAATTTTTCTAAGGGGTCCTGTTGCTTCTTTGATCCTCTTTTGGATTATTGTAATTTATTTCAGAATTTTGGTGAAGTCATTTCATTTTACTTTCCGTGTTTCTCTTGCAAACATTCCTAAACACAGTTAATGATTTCCTAGCTCCAACACTTTAAAGAATTTGAATGGATTTCAGACTAAATTGACAGCATGCTTAATAACAGAAAAATCACATCTGATCACTCAAAACTTTGCACTCTGTCATGTCAGTCTCAAAAAGTACAGACATTCCCAAATGAGACAGCAGGCAGACTGCCAGCTAGACAGGCAATAAGATGTTACTGCTCACTAGTAAGTCTGCTGGCTATATGTAAACAGAATCTCACTGACTAAAAGCAGTGTGCCTACTACAACATAATTGAGTTTCAATTAGTGCATATTTATGATCAATTTAAATGTTACAACCAAAAAAACACAAATGTTGAGCACGCAGAACTCTAGCTTATTTAAATTTAAAACCTGACTTGCATGTACACATTTTTAACCATCTTGCAATTTAAAACCTGACTTGCATGTACACAAACACACACATATTATAAAACCATGGTATTAGACAAGAGTGGTCATTTAGCTAGTATCTATTATAGTGGAATTAGCATCAATACTCTTTTGTAATTGAATACCTGAAGACAGAAGCACAGTTTGAATAACTGCAGCAACAAAGACCCACATGATCATCAACTTCATTTTACCTATATGCACCACAACACTGAAATAGAAAAATATGAACATGAGAAGGCTGAAATTTGTGATACCATTTATCTTAACTTTGCAATCTCATATCCTTCCTTGTTATTCATCCCCATTTGTTTTCTCATAATTTTATTTATGTACAAAATACACTACATGCTTATACCTCTTTAGATTCAGAGAATAATTTAAAATTCCTTCAGGAACCACTCTACTGTTAGTTTTCAAACTAATCAGGTACACTGTATTACACTAAAACTGGTAAAAAAATAAAGTAAAAGTAAAGCTATCCCACTATACGCCATGTAGGTGCTTGGGGAGAGAGGCAATATAGATCCTACTCATTCATGACCTCGGCACTAGATGGGGGTGAGTGGTCAGCATCATGCACCGGCCACACTTTACCCCCGGGAAAGGACCCCGGTACCAACTAGACAGGAGGCTGGGTCCCAGAACAGGTCTGGACGCAGAGGCTAGAGGAAAAATCCCCCCATCGGGAATCGAACCCCGGTCATCCAGTCCGTAGCCAGTCACTATGCTGACTGAGCTACACTGGCTCATCACACTAAAACTGGTAGACTTTAATTAGATTCTGATGTCTGTGACTGCTTATTCACCAACCTGTCTTTTTTATTATATTTACAGTTCCAAAAGCTCTACCTTTCTCATAAACTTAACTTAGGTACTATGAAATTAGCTCTCTATATATCAGTCCTCTATCCTATTCGAGAAATATAAAAGAGGATGATCTATGGTTAAATGTTACTAAAACAAAATACCTCCTGTTTTCAATATAATGTAAATATGGAAATAAAACTGTCTTGCTTCATGTTATACATCACTTTTATGAACTGACTCTTACACTGTCTAACTAAAAACTGAAGTGTATGATGTCAACACATGAAAATATCAGACAGAGAAAGGAGTGGCTGATGCAACAGCCTCTCCGAAACTGCTGATAAGTCATGTTAAGATTGTATCTTGCGGTATGTTAAACAAATAGAGAATAACCATTTGGACGATACTAGCCAGTTACATGCAGTGCATATACCCATCTGTTCTAAGATCTTTCTTCAGATCATGTTTATCCCCAGTGAAATGCATGAAATGTATACCATTTTCCTGTAACACTGTTCATTAAACAAAAGGCAGATTAATGAAAACTAAATGCATCTGAGTAGGTTATATTATCAAGTTTGTAATTTGTGCCACTTTAGTTTCCAAATTTCTCCAAATGAAGAACTACACAGTTGTCAGAATGATGTCTGAAGTAGAAATAGCTAAATGTGTGCTCTGGTTTCACCACTCTACATCTGTGGTTACAGTGCAGTATGGTATTTGGAAGGAAACTGCCAACAAAAATGTCCATTTACTAGAAGTATAAATTGTTTGATCAGACTGGCTGCATTTGTAAAGAAAAATACTACACATTTTGCTGTGATATTTCTCAAAAACTGATGATGAGCTTTTTACAGCCAAAATTGTCATCAGAGATGAAAACAGATGCAGTGGATACAGTTACCTTCAATTTGCCAAAAGTATGTGGACTGAAAATGAAAACAGACATGATATATACCAGGTCACTCACTTACTGAACATCTGTAAAATGTAGGTCACAAAACCTACTCTAATACAATTAGTTTTCATTCCTGTGCCTTTTAATTCAGGAGCAATGTTACAGTGAATTGGTAAACAGAAAAATGTTAGGCTAGAACCCTACTCTGACTCACAGCAACTCATTCTTAGCTTCTTGAAATATTTCCTTCCATTCTGATTACATTTTTCTTAGCATACTTTCCTTTCGTAATAAAATAAAGCAGGCTTATGGGATCAAGCTGTACTCTTGTGTAAGTCCCCCCCTCCAACTTTTGAACCAAACAGAAAGACAAATGAAGTCACAAGAACATTTGCATTAATATTCATTTTCATTTGTATCTATGACCCCATATGCATGACTTATATTTTACAGATGAATTTCACAACCTTGTTATGAAAGTTACACCACTGCAAGCCACTGTGACCTCATGGTTATTACTTTAATTAAACTTGTAAGGCAGGAGTGACAGTACTACCACTGAAATTATGTATAACAAATCACTGAAAAAATATGCAACTTCTGTTGAGATAACTATTTTGTTTATAGACTAGACATCCATACAACAGGACGACAGGAAAGTATGCTTTGTTTTATCCAGAATTTGATTATTTTTAATTGGGCCTTTCTTAATTTTTCACTTTATTAATAAACACATGGTTCAGAATATTTTTCAAAAAATCACTATTGATGATACACTAGGAAAACTAAAGGAGAGAAAAGTTCATTTGTTTCATTATGGATATTACAAGGTCTTAAAATAATTATAATAATAAACAGGAAATTATGATAGGATTATGACGTCAGTCAGGAAGTTTAATGCCACATCCCGGAGTAGATAACATTTAATTTTGTCCCAGTGATGCTGCTGCCACATGTACATACACAACACAAAATACAATTCTTAATAGACTTGTCATTCATCATTATAGTTCATATTCTTCATTGTCTTGGAGGTGGAATGTCTGGTCCCAATGGCTCCATCAGGTACTTCAGAAATGTGTTCCCATTTATAAGTTTTGTAGTAGCAATCACAAATTCTACCAATGCTGGAAAAAAAAAAGTTAGTAGAAACTATCAATGAAGAAGCACATGCATTTTTTTTTTACTTTTCTCAAACACACACCACCAAACACGCTGGTGTAGTGGTAACACTCTACAAATTCATGAATGAATTTAATCATGGGTTTTCTCAGAACCCTGAATCTGTTCATCATCCTATCCAACACATTAATTAATAACCACTACAGTTGAAACAGCACCAATAAATATATTACTAAATTATTATAAGAGAAGGAATTTTGAATGTTTTAAAGCAAAATTACTGTAAACTTCAGACTTCAAAGGCTACACAGAAATACAATATTAGTGGGATTAAAATAATGTTTTATTTTATGTAAAGGTTCCTTTCTACCGCAGCCAATACTTGCACAGATGGCTCACATGTTAAATCACCTAGAAAAGTGATATTCTAACCACTTTAATGTCTGAAAACCATACTGAAAATGAAGTATAGGTTATTTAATATAGAAATAAACATGTGTTAATGGCACAAAATAACTAAACAAGTGGATGAAACATTTAGCCAAACTAATCATAATTTTCTAGATAAAGGTCTTTGGATCATAAACTTTCTCCACTCTTATTGCTAATGCTCATTGCTTAAAATCTGTTACAAACAGAGATTCCGAAAAGATTTTGTACAATACTCATGGAGGTTGCTGGGGAGAACAACTGGCACAGAGAATGTAAATAAAGTTCCTTCTATCAGATTTACCACGATTTCCAAGTTATGATGTTTTTACATTTATGCTGTCTTTGGTTACTGTTGATTTTTAAAAAATGCAAACAATTCCTTTCAACATAACATAACATATCAATTTAGACAGGATAGGCAAAGGAAGAAGTCTATGGAAAAATCTTACCAGAAGAGATAGGATGGTGGGACACATTCTGAGGCACCCAGTATTGGTTAATTTGGTAATGGAAGGAACAGTTGAAGGGAAAAATTGTAGGGGAGACAAAGATTGGAATATATGACGCCGATTTTTGAGAATGTGGGCTGTAAAAAATATGTGGAAATAAGAGATTGGCACAAGATAGGCGAAAATGGAGGACCGCATCAAACCAGTCGAAAGACTGATGACAAACATAAAAAAATCAATTGATTTCCTCATTTGCAATGAAAGAGAGAAAGGAAGCAAATTCTACCCTTTGAAGCATTTTTCAATAGTCACTTCAGACTATTTCTTTCAGTAGTTTTTTGTTCATGTGATGGGGAACTGTCAGATTTGTTATCAGTATCTATGTCCAACTTTGATACCTATACTTCAACTATCTGTAATTCCACAAACTCTTAGTGCAGTCCCCATCAAATAATCACACTAATACAAAGTGAGATCAATGTAAAAAACATTGTCAGCTGGAAATGGTGGTGAATCAGAGAGAAAACTATATTTACTGCTCCAAATGATCTATGCAATAACCTACTTAAGTATTGCAGAAGAGTTTAATCACTCTGTATAAGATGGGGGAGCAGCAGATAATAATGAAAACTGTCAGCACCAGATGGAATTAATGTCCATCCTCATTACTGTCTTAATAATTTGTCCTAATAAAGGACTGAAGTAAAACGTTAATTTTAATTTTCATCATTATCACTGTTGTCATTAATTACTTTGCAGATCATTTGTTGGACTGTAGCTTTGCCTAATAATTTAGTAATTACTTCATCATCTTCAATTTTAATTCCTATGAATGTTAATGAAGATCAGTTTTATTATGGTTACAAGACAATACTGCAAAAACTTTCCCACCACAAAACAAGATTTGAATAGTGTACTCTGTAGGGTACATATGAGTTACGAAGTATTTTATTTGTACATTGATAGGTGTGATACAAAATAGTTGATGTGGCCACTGATAAATGACAGCTTAGTTAATGGAGACACTGACAGCTGGCAAGCAACATGATCAATTGGTCAAGATGACAGGGTAAACAGTCCACATAGTTCATACAGCCAGTGACAGAACAATGGGTAATGAAATCATAACAAGTTCCAGCATTTGTCATGTTAGTATAACCAACTGTAGAAAATAAAAAAGTATGGTTTTGAAGTATACTCAAATGGCATAACCACACCAAATGTCACAAAAATCTGTTCAACCATTCTCAAGCTGTTACATAGGTACAGATGGATATCAGGGATAATGAAATCATGGAAAATCATAGATAATATCATCACAGATGATCATACCACCTCACAAGTTAAAGATCCATCACAATGGTATTAGTGACTGCAAGAAATGAAAAAGTATGAGTTTGGAGTAGCATCCAAAGACAATGTAAAAATAAAGGTGTCCCGGAGATGGTTGTCTTCTGGGTTGTTGCGCCGTGTAGTCTGGTAGAAGTTTACCAATGTTTCAGAGGTCCTTGCTGCCTCCATCATCAGGGCAAAGAGTAAGCCGTGCAAGTGGAAAGCGCTAGAGTTATAAGGACCGGAGAGTTAAGGAAAAGCCAAACCCAACCAGTGGGAAGTGGTGTCAGAATCAGACGAGGATGTGTGAACCAATAGCAGAGTGTGGGCTTGTCGCAGCTTGTAAGAGAGAGATGGAGCAAAGGAAAGAAGAAAGCAACCCTTTTATGGGCTCCTCAGAGTCCGGTCCGTGGATCAACGGACATACAGGAGGTGGGTGGTCATGATGCGGGGGAAACAGGAGATTGTAAGGGAGCACTGGCTGGGGCCAGAAGTTCCCTGAAAAGGGCAGAGTAGTGGTTAGTGGCCCGGGTGGGACTACCAATGCTCTATGGGATGCTTCCAGAGTCCTTGGAGAGAGTGAATGAGCAGCTTCCATGACCGGCTCAGGCAAAGTCCATTCTCCCTGTGTCAGGATGTAGTTCAATCTCAATAGCCTCCCTGATCATCCAATCCATGTATCCAGATTTGGTGGACAGGACAAAGGTGTCTTGGAGCTGGATACGGTGGCCCAGGTTGAAGCAGCATTCAGCCACAGCGGATTTATCAGGTCACTCCAGCTGGATGTGGTGCTGGTGCTCCTTGAACCTAGTCTCGATAGAACTGATAGTCTGCCCAATACAGACCTTGCTGCACTCACAAGGAATGCTGTATATTCCAGGAGTCTTGAGTCCCAGGTCATCCTTCACTGGGAATCTTCTTTGGCGGAAGGCACACTGACTTGATGTTGTGCCTAGACAGCAACCTGCTGATACAGTTGAAGCTCATTTTTACGTAGGGCAGGAAGGTGACAGAGGCAAGTCTCTCTGAGGGGACGGTGCCACTCTCACTGATGGGTTAAGGACCCATCAAATCTACTGGTCACTGTATCCGTTCTGCCTGAAAGTGGTCCTGAGTAACCCCAGTTCACTCTGCATGCTTTCCAGGTCACAAAGAGACCTAGCCCTGTGCACCAGTGTGGAAAGTATGGCCTGTTTGTTGGAAGGGTGGTGGCAGGAATTTTGAGTTGAGGTAGGGGATGATGTGGGTAGGTTTGCCGTAGACCTTGTGGTCCAGTGAGCCATCAGGTTTCCGGCATATATTAATGTCCAGGAAGAGAAAATGGCCATCCTATCATGGTGAAGAATATGAATATGGGTCTTCAGGGTTGCAATGTTCTGTAGTCAGGTACAACTTTGTTAACATTTCAGAGGTGCTTAATGTCTCCATCATCATTACCCTGATAATGGAGGCAGCCTTCTATCAGATTACATGGCACTAAAACTCAGAAGACAGTCATCTTCTAAACACCATTTCTGTTGTGGATAGCCCACATACCAACACTTGTTACCCTATAAGGGTATAAGTACAGCTCTTGATTTGGCCTTCAAAAAATAAAAAGTTCAGGTCAAATCTGGACCCCCTCCCCCTCCCATTATAATTATGGTCACCAAGAAGATGAAAACAAATGGAAGAAAAAATTAACACTGCAAGATTTTATATGTAACATGAAGAGAAAAAATAACATTATGAAGACAAAACTTTACACTTACAGTCTTCCTGCTGGGAGAGAAAACGCAAGGCTGAAACTTCAGCAAATGTGCAGCCACCAAGAAAAAACACTAGTACAACTCTTGGCATATCATTCTGTGATGACTGACTCCCGATGGATCCTCCTATAACCAAACCATGCACATAAGGTACAAAGCAATGCAGCAGAGCCTTTATTCAAAACATTATTAACTTTCAAAGGTCAAGCATGTCTTTTAAGACATGGCACTGGTATCCCTAGTTGGCCCACAATAGACTTAAGACATGGTGCACATCACATCACATAATATGACTTTGTGATTACTGTATTGGATTATAATTCATGGAAACCATGTTCATGTACTCTAGAAGGATGACCCTATAACCTTCATAAACTTTCTTGTGAAGAGGGCCCCCTTTCCTTTCTTTCATAAATATCTTTACACAGCTTCTCTTGACAACTAACAGCCATGACTTCTTTGTGGGAATTATCTCCTTATTTTTGGCTATAATCTGTCAACTTTCAAATAAACACTGAGTATAAGGCTGTAAAGTATTTCAGTATCTTGATCTGAAAGTGCACAATTGAACTACTAATTTCACAGTGTTACATGATCCTCAAACATTTAAATGTAATTATTTTAATTTTATTTACAAGTTGATTATCGCGTCATTTTTACAGTACAGTTGCTTCTTTCAGGGATTCTATGCAATTAAATACTTTTCTTAGTAATTTTCTTGTCCAATGTACTTATATTCGCAATAGTTTGAGGTGTACTACCATTGATGACCTCTACAATAGGAAAACTGCTTATTGTAACAGTTTGGCATAACAGATGGAATATCCCAACATTTTGATTCTAAGGCTCTGAAAAGAAAATATGGGATATTGTAAGTAGAGATCATAGCAATATCAAAGCAGTGTACTGGAAAGACAAGACAGGCAAGTAAAGCTGCATCTGATTGGAATGTTTGGTGTGAATAATGCTCTGAAGCCCCAAGGAGTGCAAACTATACACACAACCAATGTTCTTACAAGTGACATAATGGGCATTAAGTCGCAGAACTTCAAATGAACAAAAACTTATTTAGTTGTCATAGAATATTTTATAATAAAAACCCATATGAAGTGAAATGACCCACTTGTAATTTAGGAAACAAATTGTTTTGTGACCTTTTCCTTGCAGTGGAAGACATGGAAATAGAATAGAATGATGTAGGGGGAAAAAGACCAAAATCATCCAGTTTGTCCCACATGGGAAAAAAATACATAAAACATTAAGAAATGTATTTATACTGTTGTGAGGCCGATGGTATTTCTGTGTGTTGGAAACTATACCAAGCAAAACTGACCCTAAAATGGTAGACTGTAATATGGAGGAGAAAAATTGGTTGAACCCAACTTTGTGTGCTTTTATACCAGGAACAAGAATTCCATAGTTGTTTGACTGAGGGAAAATAAACATTTACATAATGCATTAAAATTTTAAGGCAAATACATTTATAATATCATTATATTTTTCAAAATATGAATCTGATGATAGCAGAAAATGTAAATACGTGTAATATTACTTATAAATACTCTTGAGGTGCTACAGTTTGAGGCATGAATCCAAATGGTAAAGAAAACTTTTCTGTATAATGTGAATTTTATTTCATTGTTGTACATGGGTTTTAATTAAGATATGTTATTTTATCCAAACAGATGCACAGTGTAGCAAAACTGTAGAATTTAAATCAGGCTAGCTGGCTATATGGGGATCCAAAAACTTGGTACTATACAGGTTATAAAATAAGACAACTTCATATTAAATTGTATGAATATTATACTGTTAGATATTAACTGAATTTCCAAGGAATGATAAATAATGTTAGAAATAAGTTGTTGTTGTTGTTATCCAATTTTGTATTTTCATTTCCAAGAGTTTTGTTAAAAAGTTTATTGGTGATGGATTAAAGTGATGTGATTGTTTCTTGACTTATTTAACAACACTTTGTCAAACACACAGGCCAGGGGTACTCAACCTTTTCCAGACCTGAGGCAGCATTCACCCTTGTTTCTCAACATGCAGGCTACAAGGCAATGTACTGAAACTTCATGGAAATTTATTACAAATGCTACTAACTCACTGTTATAAACATGTTCACATATTCAATTATTTTTTAAAATCAGTCATTAGTGAGACAAAACACATTACAAAAAACTATGCAGGCTACTTAGTACCGAATGGATAATTATGAATTTAGAAAAATATGAAAGGAAGTGGTCATGTCTACATTAAGGTACTCTTTTGGCATTTGCTTGCTAAAAACTGCAACCCAGTGTACTCAAAATTTCAGTTTATGACCTCCTCTAAACAATCACTTTTTTTCTTCTTCCACTCACAAAGTTAGGCCAATAAATGACATAGTTTGACCTTCAAGGTAATATCCAAGAAGTTATTTTGGGTGTCTAAAACTTCCATACTTCTATAATGATATAACCAGTTTTGTTTAACTGTGATAACTTTTTTCATGTGTCCTCTTTTTTTCTTTTTTTTTGATAATTCTTAAAATGACCTTCCTTACTGAAATAAAGTATGAGAGTATCAGTGATAACATCTTTCCCAACCATCTGTAATACTTACTACGAGGTCCACGGCCAACTGGTAGTGACTGACTTTCCTCAATCGTTGGTCCTGGAAGAAGACCCAAGACATCCTGCAAACCTCTCCACCCATTAGGGCGCACCAAATATTGAGCCAGACGCACGCTCACGGGAGCATATACACTGTGCACATAACTGATGTCTGTTGGCACTATCTCACTTCCATCTTCTACTGTAAGTCGAAGAGTCTTCCGCAAAACAGTGTACTGTCTTGAACCTTGCTGTGAGAATACATTTTACCAATGACCATTCAGTATAACATATTTTTTATATTAAAACAACTAACTGATCATGAAATGTGACTATATTAAACTGCTACCTGTAATTTGATCAGACCAGCATTTTCCAAGTTTGTGAGGGACAAGATGTGCTGAAAACCATATGTCTGTATGATTTCTCGTTTGTAATGCTCTAATACCTTGAGTTTTAAACCACTGTTGGTCACTGACTGCATACAGATAAGTCTCAATACCTGAAACAGTGGTAATGCATTTTATTTTATCAGCCCAATGTAAATTTTAAACACAAAAGGAGAATGTTAACTGAACTTGTACTCATGTTATCTTATGATAACATTTCAGTCTCTAAGTTCACTGTATACATATTTCTCTCATTTTTCACATGTCTATACAAGTTGTAAATCTGAACACATAAACAATACACATAACAAATGTCAGATTCAGAGGCTAATATCAACTGAATCAACATTGCCACAATAAACACAACAGCAAATAAAATAAGTGTTCAGCAGTGCACAATGCAGCTGTTCACTCCATGGCAGAGGAAAAGAACTTTCATATGAATTTATACAATTCAAGACTCTTCCAAACTATGTAATTGTTTCCTCCCCCCCACATTTCTTGACTTCACTTCATCATGCCAATAACTTCCTACATTAAATAATTTTGAATGTACAGTGGGGTTGAACAATGGCAGAAGCCTGTGATTGAGGAAGGAGGGATTATGGCAATATGTAGGATTACTGGTAGTAAAGAAAAACATATTTTTGATCTGAAAGGAACTAAAATCTATAATGCCAGAATTCATTCAAGGACTATACACACCACAAAGACGGTCATGGATATAAGCCGTATTTGATCAACTTCTTTTCTTCTCCAAACTTATTCAATGATTTGACTAAACAGAAAATCGGCTGTAGTGGAACAGTATGACCTAGGAGAAAGAGAATGCCACTTGACCTGCTACTACAAAACAAATGACAAGTGTGGCGGTATTTGGTCCAGGACAAGAGATGAGACAGTAATTGTCTGGAGAGTGTGTGACGTGTATGTACTGACAAATATGCACAATTCACCAATAACAGAAGGTAAGAAGATGGCTGTTTTGTGGGTTGTTGCACTGTACAGTCTGGTGCCTCCATCACCAGCTGATGATGGAGGTAACAAAAACCTCTGACATGTCAGTAAACTTCTAACAGACTACACGGTGCAACAACCCAGAAGACAGCCATCTTCAGACTCACTGAAATGAAAACCTCAAATCCAACAAAACGGAAGGTAACTTCTGTGACAAATACAAAAATGTCTTAAAGCCACATATTGTTCAAGACTATAACCAGCATAAGAGATATTTTGATATGACCACCACTCAATCCAACAGCAGACATGGAAGTGAAGAGAAAAACTATTTTTCCATATGTTAGTCATGACTATTTTGAATAGCTTCCTCCTCCTGACATCATGTAGTGCCAAAATGACACATAGGAACTTCCAACTTGTAGTCATGCAAAACATGACTGAAAATGCTGGAAACTTACCTCATCCCTGTCACCTCATTGACAGACAAGCTGCCACTGAGAGAAAAGTTACTCGGCTTGAGGTAAATTTCAGAAATCATGGGCCAATTCTCCAGAGTAAACTGTCACACCTGTTATACATAAGGGATACAAAAGGGAGTGCACGTAAAATGCATCAATGTGATACAGGGCTGCATATTAGTAAATGTTTTGAAGTATACCACAAGAAATGCAAACTGTGATGTAGTGAAGAGTGCTTGCAGGTTTCAAAGCCACAAAACATCTCACCAAACAGGTATGCAAAAGAAAATTTATTGTATTCTGCAATGTGTTCAGCTGAGTGAAACACGTCAGTACTGAAGTACACAATGCTAGGAGTGCAGGTTTCTCGTAGAACGGGCGCTAGAATTTAACATGTCTCTCGTAAGTTAAAGGTTTATCATCCCTGTACCCTATATATTGCTTCCCTTCAAGTGTAACAACTACATCCACAGCTGAAACACTGATGATTACATTACTTTCCAAACAAAGTCATTTACATCTCATTATTTCATGCAGAATCCATTATCCCTTCTTGTGTGAAAAAATGTATACACTGTGTTTCAAAAGTAGCTTTACAACTTCGCAGGAGAATATAAATTTATTTAAAGGATGTGCACAATATTTTTAAATGCACAAATTTAGCCAAACACATCTAGTTTCATGCACATAAACTGTAGTACCGGAATTTTGTACGGAAATGATGCGGCGGGTTGAAGATGGCAAAGGATTTCGGGACTCAGTAATTTTCAGTGACGAAAGCACGTTCCATGTCACTGGTAAGATCAACACCCATAACTGCAGGATTTGGGGTAGTGAAAATCCATGTGCCTTCCTGGAACATGTTCGTGACAGTCCAAGAGTTAATGTGTTTTGCGCCCTCAGTAAAGATAAAGTGTACGGCCCCTTCTTTTTCATGGAGAAGACCATTACCGGCATTGTGTATCTGGACATGCTCCAACAGTTCCTCATTCCTCAACTTGACAAAGATGACCAGGAAGGACGCATTCACTTCCAGCAAGACGGTACACCCCCTCATTACTCCGGAGAAGTGCGCAAGTACCTCGACAACCGTTTTCCAGGTCAGTGGATTGGTCGGGCCACACCAATAGCATGGCCACCTCGTTCCCCGGATCAAACACCTTTAGATTTTTTCTTGTGGGGATTTGTTAAAGATTGAGTGTACGTGCCACCGTTACCTGCAAATGTGGCCAAACTCCGAACTCGAATTACCGCCGCAGTTGCTGAAGTGACACTGGAGATGCTACACCGTGTGTGGCAAGATATTGACTACTGCATAACAAATGGAAGTCACATTGAACCATAAAAATCAGGCATGCATGCCCTTGTTCCACGCTGGCGTAAAACCGTACAAGTTGATGGGGACTATGTGGAAAAATAGTATGTGTAAAGGAAACATTGATTTATATTGTCACTAAATTTGAGCCATCTTGAATAAATATGTTCTGAGGAAAAAAATGTGGGGCATTACTTAATGAGCGACCCTCGTATTACTGAAAAATCTAGATTAATCATCTATGTCAAAAACTAAAATGCATTCTTAATCACCCTGAGACTTTTTCCATAAAACTGTACTGATCCAATTAAATTTTTTGCCACATCAGGTAATTTAGACAAAATCCGTCAGGACTATGAATATTCTGCAGTCCTAAGGCCATATTTACCTTTGTTTATTGACTACTGGACTTCAAGGTTATAAATGAGGATAATTTATTGAAACTGTTACTAATTTACAGCTGCAAATACATACTATCCAATAATTTTCTTTACCAAATTCAGTTATTAGTGAGATACTGATACTGCTTTTACTTGACTGATCTTTCAATATTGGTTTCATTTCTGTTGTTGCAATTCACATGCAACCCTCCATATGCTCATAAGTAAGACATATCCCAGGTTTTGATCTGATGTTCTTTTTAAAATAAAAAGCTTCTTGCAGTGACAATTACTGTCAAATACAAAGTATGTTAACAAAGTGTGTTTTCTGATAGCAGGTAATAATTTTATATTACATAAAGTGATACAGTATTACCATAAACATACAAGGACTGCACAAAACATATCAGCATGCTGCATACAGTTTGCAGACCGCAGGATAAGACCCCCTGTCAAAGTCATAATTTCAGGTTTGAATTATAGTCAGAATTAAATTTTATCAATATCTGTAAACAATGTGAATATTTTATTTTAGACTATATCCATCAATCACAATTGTCAACAACAAAATTACTCTTCATTTGTAGTGATGAGGGAAGTACATGCATAAAAAAGAGAAGCACAATGAAGCTTGATACAAAGCCCAAAGGCACAATTATGACATCTAAGCTGGAGTTAGAAAATGTTTGCATTAATTTTTATTCAAAATGCACAACTGTTGCAACTTACTTTAATCAGAGGTTCCTTCTGTGCAATACAGTCTTCAATATATGGATGCACTTTATCTGTGTCAATTCCATTCATAAATTCCTGTTCTGTTTGCAGGGATTCCAAAAACTTGTTAGAATCAGTCACCTCCTTAATTAGTTCAGCAATTGTTGTATCTGAAATGATAAAAATCAATAATCATTCTTAGTTTATGTTTATTAAAACAAAGATGGGCTTACAAGACTAAAAAACGCAGCATAATAACACATTTGAGACACACAAGCATCTGCCTGGTTTATGTATGAACTATAAATAATCATTTTTAAGAAGTTATGTTACTATTTGGAAAACAATCAGTATTGATCTTGATTATAAATTCTGAAATCATGAACATGTGACAGTATACAAATGTGAAAAAATGAAACTGGTAAGCTGGTATGGTTTAACCCAAACAATGATTATATTGAAAAACAAACAGAAAAAAGAGATCAGCTGCTTACAAAAGAAACATGCAGGAGAGAGAGAAAAAATACATGTTGCTAACATTTCAGAATCAAATATAGTGCTGTTCACATGGTCATCTCAGCAATGTGCATTACGTGTGGGCTAGACATAGAACAATGCGCTGTGGTAAGCAGTCAGTTCTGAGTGAATTAGCAGATAAAGGCCGGCTGTGTCCAGTGTGAGTCGTGTGACAAAGCGCAGCATGTGAGCTACCAAGCTGTTAGGCAGAAATAGTGATGGATGGCAGTAAGAAGGGAACAGTTATAACCATTCCAGAGCCTGTGCATCTAAATCAAGCTTTTGATTTATAAACTAACAGAACTTCAGTAAAGAAAATAATTAACTGTAATAACAAAGTGTGTATAAAACTCATCTTGTAAAGAACCCACAGTGTAATTACCAATAATTATTATAACACGTTACAGGCATTGTATGAAATTCCTGTGAATTTTATATAATGTCAATCAAAATTTTGCAAACAATGGATTGAACAGGTTTTGAATGTATCACTGTCACTTCTCCAAGGTATGTAAATCCCAGGTATTGTATGGAAAATAAAGAGAAATTTAAGTAATGTGTCAGCAGGATGAACCTAACCTAACAAAATGTAACACAGCAAAACCTAATCTAACCAGTCTGCATCTTCAACTGAATTAAATGCATCCAAATCTGCAAATAAAATCAATGTTTCACAGCCTCCACATGGCCAGTGACTTTTAACACTACCATCTAAAAAGAAAGTGAGTGGTGCAATGAACAGATAATGTGAGCAGGAACAAACATAATAGTCTGAACTTGTAAAGCCTGCATGTAACACATTGCCAACAATGTCTGACAATATATAAAATGGCTACACAAAGTAAAAAAGCAAATAACATTCCTAGGCATTTTATACAATAGCAGATTTGTTACTCTGCTGTGCAGAAACATAATTAATTTTATGATCCACCATATTCTTTTCATACATCTATACCCAGCATGTTTCATATTCTTAAGTACTCAATACATGGACTATGTGAATAAAATGCATATCAAAAGCAACTCAGACCATAAGAATCAATTCTCACTTAGTTGTTATGGAGATATATATAATACTGAGAATTGACATACAGTTAACAGGCTGCAGTATGTACGAACAAATGCTGTTTGACATTGCACACATTTCTATGTCCCGAGCAAACTCTCATTATGGTAAGAGATGATTTAAATCTCTATACCAGTGTTTCTCAACCTATGGTATGCGAGCCAATGTTGAGTGGTACACGTACTAATAAAGAAAATCAAAAGATAATATTAACATAATTAAGTTTTCCCTGAATGCATTTGGTTAGTGGTACATTTAATGTGTTAAATTAGAATTAGTGGTACGCCAGCAAAAAAAAAAAAAGGGTGAGAACCCCTGCTCTATACTATGGGGCTGCCAGCTGGACCCAATCTCTGGGGTTAACAGCTTAGCAATAAGCTATTGCTACACATGACCACATGGATGATAAACGTTAAATAGCTTCTCAATGTCCATCATCTGAACCTGTGGCAAGCTAATGCTTATAAACATACGAGTTGCTAGTGATGCTTTGGTGGCCATCATATGTGGTAGTCGAGCAACAAATTGTTTAATTTCTTGCACTGTTTTTTCTCCATGACGTTCTTCAAACTGGGAAGAGATCAACTTTGCTTTACGGCTCAATGCCGGACCAACAGCATTGAAATTCTTATCCCTATAAAAGAAGAGAAATGTAACAAAGCATTACTTTTACACAAAAAAATTCACTACTGCATGACAAGTGTTTTGATTCAATTCACTATGGAGAAGGTTATACACCATAATTTATCATATTTCATTCAACTGGTGAATTCAAGAAAGCACAAGACTTGATGATCAGAGAAGTATTGTTAACATTCTCAATGAATATGTTATATCCATGAAATCACTTAAGCTAATTACAATGTGTTTAAACAAAACCTATAGTAAATTCTGTGTAAGTAAGCATCCCTTCTTGCATTTCTGATTCAGAATGACCTAAAACAAGAACATGTTTCATCACTATCATTTTTTAACTTTGTTTGGAATACAGAAATAATAATGTTACAAAAATCGGGGTTGATGGAAGTGAATTGGCTACAATAGCTTCTGATAAATGGTGATGATCTTATATTGTAGCATTATGGTTGTGTTTTCCTTACTATACTATATATATTCCACACAAAAACACCACAGCAGTAGACATCATTACAACTACAATTCAATTCAATTCAATTCA